CTCATCTCATCTCATCTACTCATCTCATCTACTCATCTCATCTTCTCATCTCATCCCATCTCATCTCATCTCATCCCATCTCATCCCATCTCATCTAATCCTATTTCATCCCATCTATTCCTTACATGCAATCCATCCATTCATCAATATCTTATTACACAGCTGTACATGTTTTTAAGGTTGTTTTTTAAAGTTGCCGGAGCACAAAGAAACAGACGATAAACAATAGGAGATAAGCGATTGCAAGATCTAAGAATAGCTAGAATGACTCGTGTTTTTTTATTATACTGATCAAGAATCCATTTGTTGTTTGTAGTTGACTATTTGAAATGTCTCGATGATTCGTGTTTAGATGCATGCCCATAATTTCTTTGAGTCTTGGGATGTTTATCGCCTATCTTCTTTGGTTCTGACAACCTTTTTTAAAAGGTGTACAGCTATCTCATAAAAGCTTGAAGGCGGGAACGGCGATAAGCGATAGGAGAGGTCAGTTAAAAACCAAGGAATAGTTGGGAAGACAGGTGTTTTTAGCATTATTCTTGTCAATAACAGAGGTTATTGTTTGAAATTTTTAGTGCCCACAATTCCTTTAGGTCGTAAATCTGCCAATCACCGATCGCCATGTGCCCCTTCAACCATACTTGAAATAACTGTGACCTGTACCTATCCTTCTCGCGCCTAAATGGCACATGTGGCCTTCACAGCACGACGTCCCCTTATTGCTCAGCTTCTGGTTTCTGTAAACCTTTTTTTATGGGAAGCCCTCAGCCCAAAATATATGTATACATATGATGAATGTTTTTAGACTTGGATTACGATAAATTAATAAATAGTTCAGTTCCAAAGATGTGGAACAAACTTCCTCTTGATTTAAGAATCGAGAGCAGTTTGGAAATTTTTAAAAACTGAAGAAACTCAAAACTTTTCTTTTCAAAATGCAGTAGACATTTTTTTTTCTCATTGTAAATAGCGCTTTTGAGCTAAACGGATTAAGCGCTTCATAAATTAGGTGATGATGATGATGATGTTGATGATATATTCTCATCACAACATGTGTTCTCTTCGATACCATGGGGAAAAAAACACTTAGTTTATCGAGTGATCATCTAAACTGACAACCTTTTCTCTTTATCTTACAATACCTCATAATGGACCTCTTTGGCTCTGACGTAATGTTTTCCCATTACAGACCACGTATCATTCCCTAGAGTATCATTTCTTTGTTTAACGGATGCGCATGAGAAGACACATGAATATAAATACCAGGTGATCTCGCCTCCAAGCGCGCAAAGGATTATTTCATAATATCTCACGGTATTCAAAATGGCGGCTGAAGACCAATCGAGACAACACACAGTTCGATTATTTTTATTGCATTTACGCTAATTTTTTAATAATTTTAACTGCTGATAGGGCAAGAGGAAGCTTTTCTGGTACATGTAACATAGAATATTTAAATGTAAAGTCATATTTCAGGAAGTATTTTAAAAAGGTTAACTCGAAATACGACTCCATTTTGAAGCCACCATGGAACTTTTAGCGATGCAACAAAAATTCATCTGATTGGTTAATAGTAACCGGAAGCGAGCGCGAGATCACCTGGTACGACTCAAACAAAGATTCTTACTCTCAAGATTATGACAAGTGGTATAAAATGGAAAAACATCACGCCCGAGATAAAGAGGTCTATATATGCTAAAAATAGCCCCATTTAATGCACTGATCGATGAGTACATATTAGTAATGTAAAACAAAACGACACATTCTACAGGGTCGGATAGAATCGGCATTGTCTCTAGTCAACGGTGATTTTGTCTCTCTAATTTTAAAACAACGTAAGAACTGAGACAAGTTGTCTCGTTACTCAAGGTAGAAGCGGCAAACGAATCGTTAACGGGCGGCAAACGACGTTTGATCGAGGACGACAATCTTTCTGTATTATAACACTTAAAGGCGAAGGAAAAGGATTTGCCTGATTGCTTTGCCCAAGAAATCAGATAAGGTCTTATCGGTGCTTTCAAATGACGCCGGATAAAAGCAACATTGTTTCTTTTACAATCAGATTACTGGGAAAGAAGTAGAGCCTTTATGGATTACGTGTGATTTATACAAACATTTGTCAAAGAAAACAAGATGAATGATAAGAGTTGACGCGACCGAGGTGGAGTGTGGGTAGCATACTATGGGTGCTATTTTAACCGAGAAAAACAAACGAACGAACAACAAAACAAAACAAAACAAAAACGAAAAGAAATTCTAAGAAAATAACAAAAAAATTGGTTTTTAGTAGAACCAAAACACTTTTTCCTGATTGCTCTACAAGATTATAGAGCGACGCTTTGCCGCTTCTATTCTATTAAAGTCATGATTCTATTTCATGTTCAAAAATAGGTTGTCGGAAGCAAACGAAAAGAGACTTGTTACTAAGTCTTTGTGCGTCATAATATCATCCCTGCTCAGGCGGCTGCGCCTTTACATAAACATCTATTGGAAAATCACATATTGAAATAATGCCGGTTTACGAAGAACTCCTCTGACGTTCCGCTGGCTTAATGTATGTCATGCTGTTATGATCCCGAGCCTACAAATCCTCTGGTCAGCATATCTCTTGATGCTGACCAATAGAAAGGCAGGCTCATTGGACGAGATGAACAGTTTCACAGTGACGTTATTTCAGCCTTAAATTGATTGCGGAAATCGAGAACAATTGATTCTCTTAATCAAACTCCTATGAGCTATGTATAGCTTGGTGTATATTAACATTTGTCAAATCGAACGCTATCAATCTTATCGTCGATTTCAATTTAACTCCATCTCAGCACCTTGATATTAAAAACTGAAAAATGTCTAYCTTAGCTACACACGAAAAGTAATATAGTTTTCAGAGATTTTAAACAAATAGAAAAAGGCCTTTGAGAACTGAATAAAAATAACGAAAGCAAACTTCCCAAAGCTTTATATTTTCCAAGCTAAGCTATTGCCTACTGAATATCCTTTCTAACATTTCTTTCTAGCTTCTCATTTCTATTTGTTGTCTTTATATTCTCTGTCCATTTTCTTTCTTTTTTTCTTTCTTTGTCTGTTCTAAGCGGGAAATTGGTTCTTAAAAGAAGTTGTTTTATTCTACTTGATTCGTTTGAACAAAACTAGCCATTCAATAGAATAACAAGGAAAACAAAGGGACGGTGTATCATGGCGGGTTAACTGAAACGGAACATCCAAATAACAAACCCACAAATAAAGTTCATTATTATAAAGTGTAAAGTGTTAGAACAGACTGCCTATTCTGCATTTTTCTCAGTAAAAGAACACAATAATAAATCCAAACGCCGAGGTTTTCTAAGGATTACTGTCCCACTAGCTATCAAATATAAGTAGAAATATCTTAATATGAAGTTCACAAGAAAAATTTATTACAGCAAAAAAAAGCTGTAGAGAGAAAAAAATTTTTTTTTACAACTATCAAAAAAAAAAAAAAAATCGTTCTTGTTAATAAATTCCCTTTTTTAAATGCAAATAAGTTCTCGAGGCTATAAATCATTTACAATTACGACTGGTATATTTTATAAACTCGCAGACCAAGCTCCTCATGTTAGCTCGGTACATACTGAATTTCGCCTATTGCAGAGCAGTAAAATTATATTTCAAGCAATCTTATTTGTTTTTCTTGTATTCGAAATCTTCCACATCTACAGGCTATTGAAATACTCGTATCCACTCACCAACATCAACATCTCACCATATGGCTGTACATTTACTTTATCCTAGTGAGATAAAGCCCTTGCGCTTGCGCAGTAGAGGTCCTACGTTTTAATAACTTTGCGTAGAATGCAATTGGTGCTTAGAAAGAAAGCAAGGCAATCCTAGAGAGACATGTGCCGTTTTTTTAGAAAACTCTCCCCACATTCAGTAGCCATCTGTCTGAGTATAAAAGCTAGGTTCACTGGTGATTTTCTTCATACTTACAGGGCACTGAAGTCACTGTGATCAAGAAGGCAGTGCTTCCAGATCGAGGCTCCTATTGCACTTCAGGAGCTGTAACTCTGCGTGCTCCCTAAGTATAGGGTGCACGGTGTACAATTTTTGGTAGTAGGGTTGACCTGCGTACGCGCTTGTCTACCCGTCCAACAAAACAAAATCAATTCTGTTCTAACCTGAAGACTCAATTCCTTTCTACTTGAGAGGAGAGTGATAAGTGCTATTCATAGGCTTCATTTATTGCTATTTCAGGCTCTGCTTGGTGGTTGAACGAAAATAATATTACACTGAAATAATCATTTAAAAAGTCAAAGATTTTCATATGATTGTTCCTAGCTGTAACGACTACACATTTGTGCAAGTAATACAGACAAAGGGGGCCGATGCTGAAAGATGCTGACGAAACAACCTATATGGTATGTGACTATTGAACTAGTTTTCTTATAGGATAAAAGGTCAAGAATCATATTAAAAAAGCCTTCTGCATGGACTGATCAAAGTCAGGGCACTGCTATCCGGCTAGTTATCCAGGAATCTGTTTGTACTACTATATATCGATCGTAACACTCAAAATGACAACTTATTTCAGTTTATCAAACTTATTAATAAAAGCATCAATATTTATCAGGGTTGACGATCTAACTCTCATAACCAAGTAGATTATAACACTTCTCAGTACGGAGGGGATATCAAAGAATCGAGAGTTCTCACAATAAGTATGTCATGTTGTAAACTAATGAACTCGGTGAATTTTAACATTACACGGCGTTATATCCTTCACTTTTATTTCACTAGTTAACTGATCTTCTTGCGTCGTAGTAAAAGGAATTCGTAATTTCTTTCTGTTTCTTTTTCTCTTTCTTTCTTTTTTTTTTTTTTTTTTTTTTTTT